TGCCAGCAATGCCCAAGGCTTAGAAAGACCCCAGATGCAGTCTTAGATTTAGACATGGGTAGCTCAATGGCCCCTTTGGGGGCGGGGGGGGGTGTGATGGCTGCTAAATACACTTTCACGACTGGCCCTATCTGCCACGGCAGCTATTTTCAGCAGTGCCCATAACGTTGCTGCAAAATTCCAGATGGGCCCAGCAGTCCCCAACAGCTGGGGACCGCCTCCCTTACCGTAGCCAATTCAGCATCTCAGTACCGTCTGTTCGGTTCAGTGGGCTTGTACAACTGAATTGTGGAGCCTGAGGGCCTCGACAAATGAACACACCAGGGGGCTTCCAACCTGGCCCTTTTATGACTTGTGGACTTCAGCTCCCAGAGTTCCTCAGCCAGCGTGCCTGGCTGAGGAATTCTGGGAGCTGAAGTCCACAAGTCATAAAAGGGCCAAGTTGGAAGACTACTGGAATACACAAACACCCGATTAGCAGATAGCGGCGGCCTGAGAGAAGAACCCAGTCCTCACCTCCGTACTGGGATCCGTCTGAGGTGACGGCATTGAGCGAAAGGTTCGTCTGGATGTAGCCGGGACACACAACGGTCACTTCAATGTTGAATCGCGCCACTTCGGCTCGCAAGCAGTCAAAAAAGGCTTGAGTTGCGTGCTTGGAGGCTGCATCTGGAGAAGGAGATTGATCGCCAACTTACTAGTGCCCAGCCAGAGTCTAAAGCAGGGGTGGGCGGTTAATTTTTCCCAAGGGGGGGGCTACATGAGACACTGAGACTGTTGTGAAGGGCCAAACCAATAGGCTGGAGTTAATTCTGATCAATTGTGTGCATTGAATAGAATAGAATAGAATAGAATAGAATAGAATAGAATAGAATGGGATGGAATGGACTAGACTAGAATAGAATAGAATAGAATAGAATAGAATAGAATAGAATAGAATAGAATAGAATAGAATAATAATAGAATAGAATAGAATAATAATAGAATAGAATAGAATAATAATAGAATAGAATAGAATAAGAATAGAATAAGAATAGAATAGAATAGAATAGAATAGAATAGAACAGGAGTGTGTTGTGTGGATTGTGCCTTTTCTTCGAAGTTGCTGTTTATGCTGATATTAACGAGAGGAAAGTAACAGCATCCAACAGGAAGTTTTTCCTAAGCCACCCCTGTACCCTCTGTATTTCCAATTTGATACACAAAAGCCCCAACTCTGAAGAATTAAA